CAACCAGAGCCTCCGATGTTGATGTTGGTTTCAGAACGGCTGTCTGGTTCTGGAATACTCGTTCCTTAAACACTTACGCTGATCGTTGCAATCAAGCCAACTTTGATATCATCACAAGAAGAATCAACGGAGGATACAATGGTAAGGCTGAAAGAGATGCCAAGTGGAGACATATCCGATCTGTGTTGGGTTGTTAAACTATAAGGATGATGATGAATATTTTTTTGTGTTGTTTTTTTCTTCTTTTTTTGTAAACTGTTCATCTGAGGAATTAAGGAAGGAAATAAAACTTGTCACACAAGAAAACCAACAACATTGGAAGACAAATTCTCGAAAGCTAAACTCGTTAGTTATATTTATTGGACAAGACAATTAAAATATCTAAGGCGTCCACCCAATCTGTTCGATCCTCAGAAGAAGAAGCATCAAATACGTAGGTTCGAGTAGCAGTCGACAATTTGAAACAATACAATCTACCACTCAAGTCCTTGTCACTCTCAGATGCATATTGAACTCGTGTACCCTTCAATGAGATGGAATCAATTGGCTTTGGATCTCCTTTCTGTTTATAATAAGAGAGTTGATATTGGCTTGGAGAGGATTCTACACTTTCAATAATGAAATATCGTTTCTTCCAACTCTTAAATCCTCCTCCTTGTTTCACGAGAAATCCTGTTTTGTTTTTTGCTTTCTCTGCTCGATCAGCTGTTGATAAATTTCCACTGTTGCCACTACTTGTGAGAGAGGATGATGAGGAATTTGTGGTTTTTGGTTTGACATTGATGAGAGTGGATCCTCGTACTGAAGTTCGAACAGTAGTGGAAGAACTGCTTAATAAGGACGAAGAAAATGACAAGTTGTCACTTCCATTGCTATCAAACAGTGGATTGGCAAATGCAGTAAAGTCGCTGGTGTAATCATTCGCTGTTTCGAGCTGTTTTGTCGAGTGGTGAACTGGTGTCGATAGAGTAGCGATTGAAGTGGTTCTCAAACGTACAGAAGCACGTTTCTTTTTATCGGTGCTGACATCACCCGAATGTGAAGAGAAGACAGGGAAACGACTTTTAGATTTGGTAGGTCCTAAAATTTCCAAGTTTGGTTCATTGTCTTCATAATAGTCATTATTGGAGGTGTCGTCACTTGTGGAAGTTGTGACTGCATCTGAAGGAGAATGTTCAACAACAGTTGAAGAGGAATGTGAAGTCTCTGGGGTGGAAGTAGATTTTGGTGTTTGTTGTTGTGGTTGTAGTGAAGGAGAGGTCACAATGATCGAACCACTTGTGTTCAAGGTCTTTTTCATGGGTGATGACGTGACAGTGTTGACATTCGAACTTGGAGGAGAAGTGGAAGCTGAGGTGGATGTTGTCACAGGACTGGATGGCGAAGATTGTTCAGTTGGTGATAGACCTTCTTTGGACATGACCACTGTTCTTCTAACCACACGAACAACCTTTTTAGTGGTTGCGACAGGTTGTTGTTGACCGTGTAGTGGAGTTTCTTCCTGGTAAGAGGATGGCTGAGATTGATCATCTTGAACGACTGGTGTTGGTGGTGTTGGTTGTGGCTTTTCATGTTGCTTCTCTTGTTGTTGCGCCTTTAACCTTTCTTGTTTAGCTTCTGCTTGCTTAAGCTCTGCTTGCAATCCTTCTTGTTTGTGTTTGGCAGAAAGGAGTTCTTGTTCTTGTTGTTGGATTTGTTCAGCCTGTTGTGATAATTGTTTCAATAACATGTCATTCTTTTCGTTAAGAGAGGTGATCGTATTATTGAGATCGGTAATGGTGGAATTGAGTTCAGAAATCTTGTCTTTTGCTGCTTGATTTTTGGACTTTGTTTTTCTTCTTCCAATTTTTCACACTTTTTCTTAAGTTGAGCAAGTTCCTTCTCTAGGTTCTTGATGATATCAATTTTAGTATCGAGTTCACCTTCAAGCTCTGCTTTCTTGTCTTCATATTGTGAGTGAATGTTAGAGATTTGATTTTCCAAATCTGAAATTGTGTTATCTTTCTGTTCGGATTTGTCAGTCAATTCCATAATTTCCTTTTGTAATTCAAGTCGCTCTTGTTTGTGCTTTTGTTGTACTTTTTCCAATTCACTTTGATGTTTGACTTTCAAATCATCAATGGCTTGTAAATGATCATTTTCAGCATCTCGTAGTTTCCTCTCGTGCTCTTTCAAAGCCACAGAATGTTTTTCAGTAACTTCTTTAATTTTTTCAACTATTTCATTTTCATATCGAGCTGTGACTAATTTACGTTCTTCCTCAACTGCCTTATTCTTCTCCATTTCAAGTTCACTCTTTGTTTGTTGAATCAAAAGAATGGATTTTTGCTTTTCTTCTTTTAGAGATATTTCCAAATTATCCACCTTAGATCGTGATTCAACCAATTCTGTTCTCGTTCTCTCCACTTCTGAATTTTTCTCTTCAACCAAAGATTTGAGATTTTTGACTTGATTTTGTTCCTCAGAGAGACTTTCTTTGAGCTGATTGGATCTCACTATCATGTTTAGTTGTCAATCGAGTTGTAAGAGATTCAATTTCTGTCTTTTGAGCAGATTTTAAAAGCTCCATAATGGATTTTTGATCTTCACACTCAGAACGTGCTCGGTTAAGATCGTTCTTAGTTTCTTCATATTTTGATTTCAGGCTGGTCAAATTATTTTTCTCATCTTCAAGTTCTTTCTTCACACGTTCATGATCTTTGACAAGTTGTTGATACTGTGAATCCTTTTCCTTGAGATCATTTTGCAGTGCTTCTACCTTCTTCAACAGATCTTGATTTTCCTGATTGATACTCTCAACACTGGACATGTTGGAAAGAACGGCAGTACTTTTTTCGGAGAGCTCTTTCTCAAGTTTTTGATTGGCATCACGGAGAGATGAGAGTTTGTTTTCATAGTCGGTAGTAATACGATCCAACTCGATTTTAGAATCTTTCAGCTTCTTTTCAACTTCTTGCAGTTCATTAGTCAATTTTTCAACCTTGTTTTGGGAAGATGTCTTTTCATCTTCAATATTTCGAGAGTACTCTTCTTGTAATTGTTGAACTTGTTGTGCATGTTGTTTTTGGAGAGTTGATTTTTCAGATTCGAAATGTCTTTCAAGTTTGTCTTTGGCTTTTCAGCGTTTTCTAAATTCAACAAGGCGTTTTCGTGTTTTTCTTCCACTCTACCAATTCAGCAGATTCCTTCTCCAATTCAGAGCGTAAGCTTGAAATTTCCACAGAAAGAGCTTCCTTTTCCTTATTCAACTTTTCAACAGATTGTGTAAGTGAATCAATCTCTGTTTGCAATTGATTCTTTTGTTTCAATTTTTCATCTTGCAGTTGAGTAATCTCAGAAGATAGTTCTTTGATTCTTTGAAGATTGGATGAATTTTGAGAAGCTAATACAGATGATGACTCCACTGATTTTTCTTGCAATTGATCTAGTTGTTGTTGAAGTAGATTAGCCTCTTCCTCTTTTGATTTCAGCTTATTTTGTAAATTACCTCAATTTCTCCTGAAGTGAGGTCATGTTTTGTTTGGTCTCGAGTTCTTTTTTGGCTGCCTCTTGAAGACTGGACCTGATCTCAGCAATGGTATTTTCAGATTTTACCTTGTCATTGTTGAGAATTTCATTTTGCTTTTCAGCTTTTTCAGCACGATCTCTCAGTTTGCTCACTTCTTCTCTCTTCTGGCCAAGTTGTGAATTGATTTCTTCAATTTCCTTTTTCAGATCAGAATTCTGTTTTTGTAAATTCTCAATTTGAAGAGTGTTCTCAGAAATCTTGTTATTTAAAGTTTGAATCTCTTTTGATTTATCCTCAATGGTTTTTCTATGTTGAGAGAGGGTAGTTTGAGTGGCTGATAATTTCTTTTCAAGGTCTGCAGCCTTTTCTTTCTCGGTACGCAATTGGTTTTCGAGTTCCTTGAGCTTGGTTTCCAGAGTGGATTTTTCATTTTTCAAATTGGTCAGTTCTTGTTCTTTTGTGAAAGAGAGCTATCTAATTTGGAAGATTTCTCTTTTTCACTGTCAACACTCTTGATCAATGTTTTAAGCTCTTCTTCCTTGGATGAAATGGTCGATTTTAAGGACTCGATATTCGATTTGAGTTGTGATACCTCCTTTTCGAGCTCTAACTTTTGTTTCTTCTCTACTTCCAACTCATTGAAAGTATTTTCTCTACTTGCCTTTTCTTGTTTCACACTTTCTTTCAAGTAAGAGATTTCTAATTTGTTTTGTTCAATTGATTTTTCATATTCAGCATTTTCTTTTTGATAAGTGGAAATCTTTGAACTTGCTTCTTGTTCTTGCTTCTCCAAAGCGGCAATCCTTTGTGACAATTCGTTCATTGTTTGTTTTTGTTTGTCAATTTCTTGTTTGAGAGCATTTCTTTCTTCCAAGGTCTTGTTCATTTCATCCTTCAGTTTGGAAACTTCTTTCTTTGATTCCTCGAGCTGTTTGTTCAGCAAAGTAATATTCTTTTCATTTTCAATCTTGATAAGACTGAGTTGTGTGTTAATGGTTTCTAACATGGAAGGACCCATGGTTTCAAAAAGTGAAGTTTGAGCGTTTGCACAAAATTGTTTCACATCTACTGTTAATTTTTCTCTCACTTCAGTCTTGGCACGTTTGATTTGCTTTCTCAGTAACAACAACTTGCTTGAAATAGTGGTCTTATAATTTTCATGAGCGGACTCGAGTTTTTTTTCTGTTGTTCTGTCAAGGTTTCAATTTCTCTCAGCTTTTCGGAGAGAGCTTTGCTGGTACTTTCAAGCTTTTCTAATTGCTCCTTGATCTTTTCTTCATCCTCGGCTGTTTTTGTTTGAGTTCTTGTTCAGAAGATTTCACCTTGCTAAGTTGAAGTTGTAACTGATCGATCTGATCCTTCAGTGTGGAATTGACCTCTTGTAATGCTCTATATTGAGAGTTTGTTTCTTCCAAGTTTTGTTGCAAATTCTTAATTTGTTGCTTTTGTTGGTAGTACTCCTTTTCTGTGTCTTGAAGTTTTTTGAGATCCGTAGCAACGGAAGCTGTTTCGTGTCATGATGGTATTTGCATAATAGTCAGCAATGCAAACAATTCGTTGCAAAATTAATATCCAATTGCTATCACGTGAAACACTTACTAATTAATTGTTCTGCAGTAGAGTCAATGGTCTTTGTGAGATCAGAAACAGGAGCTAAAACCTGGATGAGAACTTAATTTTTCCGTTGTGATGGATGAAACAGCAACATCTCCATCAGTACCTGCAACAACAGCGTCATCCGGCACAAATGGTAAAAGGTTCTCTGTTTTCACTCCTCGTACCACAAGGTTTTTCAAAGCTGTGTCCGCAAATTCCAAAACTCCCAGAGTGAATTGAGCTGCATGAGGAATGGCGGGTGAGCAATTTATAAAGGTGGTAGCAATACAGTTGTGCAAAGAGCGAGAATATAGAATAGCTGATAAGCTCGAGGAATAGAACTGGGAGTCATCCTCTTGAGATTTGGGATCATTCATCAAGTTGCACAAATCGGAAAATGTCGCATGTCCATTTTCGAGTTCTTCGGCCTCTTCTTCTGAAATATCAATTAAGGGAGATTCAAGATCGATACAAGTCAATTTGCTACAGATGGTTTTTGCTTTTCATTGTCCTTTTGTGTCACGGTTAATTCAACAAACAGGTTGGAAGCAAATTTTGTATCTTTTTTAACTTTTTCAATTTTTCGTTTTTGAATTGATGAAGCCAAAATGTCTAATAACTCGTCATCAGCCTCCACGAATTGTTCAATGAGTCCGTTAATTTCAATTTCTTGTGTATCCTCCTGCAATAGACATTCGAGACCAGTGAAATCTTGATGTAAATTGTGGTTGTTATGATGTTAGTATGTCAATCATTACATGAAATAGTTGTATTATCATGAAATAAAATCAGGCATGTCATGAATGACATTTTAATCAAAAAGTCAACAGAGTTTCAACCAATCTAAAATACCTACCTTCGGAGTGTTGTTGTTGAACATGACTATCATTCAACAAATCACAAATGATACCACTTCCACTCCATACTTCATAAACACTCACTTTAATTGTGAATGAAAGTGTTTCTGGACTCTCCACAATAGCATCGAAAATTCCACGAACAAATCTCGGCAGAATACCATCAGTGTCTCTTTTTCCTCTTGCCAATCGATCACTGAGCCAGCATTCACAGCTTCGGAGCCCAATATTGTGAAAGTTTTACCTGACTTGGGTGGTGCACCCCATGACAAGAAGGTAACATTTCGACCAGACATGAAGGTAGAGATCATCGGGCGGGCTGCTTCTTCAAAGACTTCGCCCTGAGCTGTGTTCATGTTAAAAACCCGATCGAATTGAAATTCTTTGGGTTGATCAACACCATACTATTTTTGCGAGTCATTGGTGAATGAATAAATGTTGGGCAAAGTAGTAGCAGAAGTAACAATGATGGTATTCCAGTTAGTAACATCAGCACACCCATGGTTGATGGTCCCAATGAGATCAACAGGAGTCATAGAGACAAATTCACGTGGTCAGGAGTCGATGAATAAATACGACCATTACGATGAGGAAAAGTGGTTCATATGATACAATACAAATAGAGATGTCAAAACACATCAGATGTTCGAGTCCATAGAAATTCAAATTTCATCGGATGTTACACACACGACAAAATACAAACCTTCAACAGGAGCTTCTTTCCTGACTTGTGAAAGGCAGCACAACACTTTGTGGCATCATCTTTGTTGGCTGTAGGTGGATCGATTGCGAGAACGTGTGGTCTGAAACGAATGAAAACTCGTAATTTCTCATCCGTCGTCGTCGAGGTGGGTGTTGTGCTTGTCATTTTTTTGGTGATGAGAGCTACTGCGAATGTCAATCTGTCGTAGAGCAAGGCAGGCAGGTTCAAAATGAGTTTTCAAAAACAAGGGAGATAGAAACTAATTATTCTCAAGAGAAGAGCTCCTAATCCAAACTCGTATCTTGTCTCCTCCAAAATAAACATCATGAATTGAGAACTGACTGCAGTGTAATCATTGCCTGGATCTAAAAACAACAACAACAACATGACATCGAAATGTCTTATTGTTTGTTAAAGCTTATCATAATTTAAGTAGAAGTGAATGCGGGATCCGATCTTATAAGATAAAGTGGAGAAAAACCCAACTTCTCCTAATTTATTGTGGATATATTTTATGATTATATTATTTAAGAAAAAAATATGCAAAGTTCTCAAAAATTTACAGCCTCAAGCAACCTTACCATAGAGGATCATCATCAAGAACAGCATGGGACGTCGGTACTCTCATCCTCAGAGTCTTCAACATCATCGTCATTATCAACAATGACTCCGAGTATGGATCAGAGTCATGAATTAATTCCTGAAGCTCCTGTTGCCGATGAGAGCTTGAATGTCCAGCAAGAAATTGGAGAAATGACAGCATTAGAAGCTCTTGATTTTCTGATTGAGGAAAATAAAAAACTGTGGAAAGAAAAGATAAAATTTGAGAATGTAAGTCATTCCGAGTGAGCCCGTTGACTCAAAATGTTAATTGTTTATTTCAATATCCCATCCCATCATCATCATTGGTTCAACAACGGACAGTACGCCTACGCCTTAAATCAAAGTTTATTAGAATCGGAATCAAAATTGAAAAAACTAGCAAGATATAAAAAAGCCTTCTTGCAAGAGCAAGAGGAAAAGAAAAGATGAGAATCCAAAATGAAAAACTTGAGAACGAAATTAAAAAAGTGAGAGAAGAAAAATCAAGATCTTTCACGTCGACGAATCAATCAAACTTGGATCTGCTCCAGAGTAACATTGCAAAAATGCAAATACAAACACAACAACATGAAAAAGAGAAACAGCATCTGTCCCTTCAAGTTAGAAAAATCAAAACAAAAATCATTGAGACAAAGTTGGATCAGAAATCTTTGAAAAGTGAAGCCAAGTTCTTAAGCACTAAATTTTCAGACGAGTTTTCTTCCCTTATAGAAACAATTAAGGATAACATAAACATGAAAATGGATCAAATGGACAATGAACTCGATAAAATGGAAAAACAATATAACAACGTGTTGAAGGATAGCGAAGATCAAGTTAGAGAAACAGCAGGCTTCTTGTTAAAAGTTGGGCAAACTGTAAAGAGTTGGAAACGACGATGGTTTGTGTTTAGAAAAGATTTGACCTTCAGTTACTTTAAAACCGTTGAGGATTTGAAGCCAATTGACACGATTGATGTATCAATGGAAGAAAGCTTGGATATCTCTGCAGACGTGACTCAAGGAAAGCCTTTTGCTTTCAAATTGGTGACAAAAGACAGAACTTATTACTTGTGCGCAACCAACGAGGACGAAAAGAGACGATGGATTTCGACACTTAGAAGGTGGTTTGAGGTGAATAAGGCGTACTTGACGAAATGAATCCTTGCACGACCACGCAGAAGGATTATCTCTATAACCACCGGAAATCCATGAGCAACGTAAATTAGGATCATTACGTCCTGCAAGACACTTCAAGCAGTTTCAACACCCAAATCGATTCTGAGTTGTGCGTTCTGTCTCAAATTGTCCAATTACAGGTTTCAGTAACCACAAGTCCGTGGTACGCACGGAAAACAACCTCGAGCACTATATTGCATGAAGGGATTCTTATGCCGGCACACAAGATCAAAAAAAACGCTCAAAAATATGCAACCGCAACAGAGATCGTCCATTCCCTCCAAATCCACCAAAGAATCCAACAACAACACAAAAACACACAACACGGATTACTTGACGACTAGTAATGGAAACAATGTATCAACAACAACAACAACCAACAATACACCTTGGCTACCATCTGCCACCACTGAATCATTCCACAACAATACAAAAAACACCACTAGCATGACTTCAGATCATCCGTTTGGGCCTTTTCAAATTCACCAACAACAACTCGATATAACGATAACAACAACAACACAAACACCACCCACTCAACACTACCCATTGTTGTTCTCATCATCCTCTTCCATTTCACCATCGCCACCATCCTCCTCATCATCAATATCGAACCAATTTACGCCAACGAGTAATGCTCATCCTCCTCCTTCTCTCATCTCCAATATGGTCAACAACTCATTTCCGAATTCAACTCCAATGAATATTTCCTCCCTGTTACCGTTTGCTATTTCACCACCTCCAACACGCTTCTTTTCAATGCTTGTTTCTTCAAGTAGTAGCAATAACAACAACATTAATCATCAACCACAACAAACATTACCAACTCAATCTGTTTCATCATCCACTACTGATGCTGCTATTGGAGTAAGTAGTATTGGTGGCACTGTCGGAAATTACCAAAGTAACAACAACAACCGCATTCATCCATCATCTCCTCAACATTACCTCTCAAACGATAATACTCTCTTCTCCTCAACAACAATTCCACTCCAGCCAGCAATGCCTACAGGAACTAATGAGAGAGGACAACAACAAAACGTGTTTATACCAAGCATTCATGCCAATTTTACCACATTTTCTGGCACTGGTCAAGGATCAAATAACACTTCATCACAACCACCTCCAACAACAACAACAGATAATTATTCTTCAACGTCACAATCAATGCATTCTGATGAAGGGAAGGATGTAATCAATATTGGGCCAAACAATTCGTCGACGTTATCGAATAAGCCTCCCTTGGATGCTCCAGCAGCTGTGTTATTATTGGAGCCTCCTCACTTTCGACGATCATTGACGATCACCATCCGACAATTCCCACATCACTCTACTTTACAAGAAAAACTCAAATGAGTGAAAGATTTTACCGACCACAGCAAAGATCATCCTCCTCATCATGCATAGAAGACATTGACGATGATTCGGGAAGTATTGCTACACTAGTACAGCAAAACAAGTCACGCCAACATAAACACGGTTTATGGATGAATGATCATGATTGTGATCACATTTGTGGTTGTGTAGAAGACAAGATGGAAGCAGAATTGAGATTACAAGATAACTTTGAAACCAATTATTTCCACTCCAAGAAAAGGTCAAACTCTCACAACAGTTACAAGTATGATGACTCAATGAATCCACATAACACAGACGAGGATGAAGAGCCCTCTCACTTTGAATGTATTGAAAATGCCTCAAATCTTATTTCAGGCTCTAGTATTGATGATGACCACCTCATTCAACAACGCAAGAAACGAAAGAAGACACTTGAAGAGAATTTGTTAACAGGCTTTTCCAATTTGTTACAAAATTTAGAGCCTGACTGTGTCTTGTACATATTTCAGTTTTTGAATTGTACAGGAAAAGATAATTGGTTTTGTAACGTTAGAAACATGTATGGAAGGTTTAAAAAGAATAATCAAATTTTGCCACTCTTTAGATACATTACCATAGAGCAACATAGTACGCTCAAGTTAGGATTTGGATCTCTCAAAAATCATCAATCAATGGACTGTAATATTCAGAGTTTATCCATACATCGTAAAACCAATCAGCCACTGGAGTGTGAAATTGGGTATATGAGCAAAGTTGGACGTTCCTTAAAAACCTTCATTTATTACAACCATTGTGGAAATAACCCAACATATCCTTCATACGCTTTACAGGGAGGTAATGTTATCAATATTGATGCCTCATCCTGCGTCGACACAACATCTACCAATTCAAATAATACAAATGGGAAAAGCACATATTCATTCAATGATGGCATGTCATCATCGTCAGAGGATGAATTGGAGGAATCAAGTTTTGAATTGATCGAAGATGAAAATTCTCATGTGATCGGACTGAAGAGAAAATCTCGCTCTGAAGGCTCATGCTTTTTGAAAGAAATCTATAGAAATTGCAAGGCTCTTGAGAAACTAAAAATTGTGGACATGGAAGGTTATGTACCCATTAAGGTCTCTCTTCGCTTACCAGCAAGTCCAAAAGGTGCTAGCCCTCCTCTAGCGTTTTCAAATACTCTACAAAAAATTAGACTCTTTAATTGTGTTCTTCCCTCTCATGCAATGAGCGTAATTTGTAAAATGACACAACTGGAGAGCGTACATTTTGAAAAAACCTTTGTGAGTGACGTGAATGAATATGATTCCCTTCTCTCCCTTACCAAACTTAAGGTTCTAAAGTTGCAAGTTGCACAGCTTCCCAAAAAAACTCTTGAAAGACATGCCCACCACATTCACTTCTCTCGAAAAACTCTTTCTGAACGTTTCACAAAAGACAGATGCGTACGATGAAAAATTTAACGTGGAGTTGTTAACTAATCTAAAATCACTGAGTATCATTAGCCACTTTAACCTTGATTTATTGGCTCTCATGAGAAATTGTACCAGAATTGAGTTTTTACAACTTGGTTTCGATGTTTGCTTTAATCATATCTTCCCCAATGAGAAATTGAAGTATTGCATCCTAAGAAATGTGTTTATTTCACCTGATCGATCCAAAGTACTCATCCAAAACAACACTCTACGATGCCTCAAGTTGTCTCCTGCCAGCATACGAGCAGCACAAAGAGAAAT